CGTGATCGCTGTGAACGGGCAGGAGGTGCTGACGCGGGCGGAGATGTATGCCGTCATGACGGAGCTGGCGAGGGAGAACCAGTCAAGGTGTCGTCTCCTGATGCAGCAGTACTACGAAGAGTATGCAGAGCGAAAGGGAATTAGTACCGGTGGTGTGGTAAACAGAAATGATGATCATGGTTTTATTGCGAAGAGTGGAAGAGCCGCGGCGTTTGAGAACGACGGCCGCTGGGAGCTGCCGCGATTAGAGTTGAGGTTTCACCTAAAATGTGGTGGTGTATTACGCGAGACAGCAATTATCGTTGAGACCGATAATGATGCCCTCAAGTGAAGTGAGGGGGGCTGGGGACGGCATGATGACTGGAGATAGAAAATAAATTCTTGGGGGACGGAAAAAAAGAGAGGAAATAGGAAGTGATAGATGGCAGCGCAATTGTCACATGCCCATTGTTGTGCAATAAGAATGGTTTTCTGTGCAGTGTGTCCAATTGTTTTTCTTGGGTTTTTTTTTTTTCATCCGGTGGTATATATATATATTTAGTATGTATATCAGTTTCTCCTTTTCTTTCTTATTTGGTGTTGGTAAGGAACGTGTGAAAAGTCATATCTTTTTATTCCCCCTAAAGTGGGTTTTCTTGACATAATATAAGCTCGTGGCCGGTCCTCTCTTCGCAGAGTGGCTACGTGACAAAAAAGAGGTTACACTTACGGGCAATACTTAAAAGGTGGAAAAAGTATGCGAAGGCGGTTTCTGATAGGATTAACACCGATGGCAGTGCGGCAGACTGTCAGGAACCACGGTCACGGTCACGGTCACAGTCACAGCGGGGCGCGCAGTGGTCACCACCACCACCACCATCATCGTCATCATCATCATCACCAGCAGCTGGATGCATCAATGAAAGGGCAACACTTGCGACAGTGCCAGCTCGTCACCGCTGTGGGTGGCTCCACCAATGTTCTTTTCTGTGTAGCAAAGGTGTGGATTGGCTCGAGTGGTGGATCTGTGGCACTTGTGGCGGACGGCTTTCACGCCCTTGTCGATCTTCTCGCTGATGTCATATCTTACGCCGCAGTCACGCTCTCAATGAAGCGACTGCCGAGGTGTCATTTCCCTTTTGGTATTGGCCGCATCGAGACGGCCGGTGCCGTTTTGGTTGCCTTCATCTTGCTCTTTGGTGGTGTGGTACTTCTCTTTCAGTCTCTGGAGGAGTGCCGGCGGGAGATTGTAGACCGCCTGGGCCTCCGCGGTGATGACGATGAAGAACAGCACCGTCAGCATCTGCACCAACATGGCGATGGTGGTAATGGTGTGCACAACGACCACCATGGTCACTCCCACTTTAACGTGAAGCATTTGGATGAAGATGGGCGGGTGACAATACTCTGGGCGATGGTGTGGGTGTCGGTGGTGTCCATTATCGCCAAGGAGGTTCTTTTCCGCTGGACAAAGCGTGTTGGTGAGCGGGCAGGGTCGCGCGTTGTTGTGGCAAATGCGTACCACCACCGTGCTGATGCATGGTCCGGTGTGGTGGCGCTCGTTGGTGTGGCAGGTCATTGCGTTGGCATGCCTGGCGTTGACGGGCTGGCGGGTCTCTGCGTGTCGTGGAGCATCATTCGCATAGGGTACAGTTTGCTGCGCAGCAGTCTGCTGGAGTTTTTTGACTTTCAGAGCGCCAACGAAGTGTCGGACGTGCGACGGGAGCTGCAGCTCCAGAGAAAGTCTCACCCCGTCAATGTGTTCCTTATTCGCCATGGGCATTCTTACGCTCTCCATGTTACGCTCCTTGTTGAGGCAAATACGACAGCGGCTACAGTAACTGCCGCTGCGAGTGAACTCACCACCCTTGCCAAGCGTAGCGTTGCGGTGGCTGACACTTACACTACACTTTTCGTATGTGACAAGGAGCAGGAGGAGTCGTTGCGTTACACACTGAAACTCGTGGAAACATTTCACGGTCTGAACTCCATCCTTTTTCAATGGGAAGCGAGGCGGCTCATTGTTCCTCAGCCGCTGCAGAGTGAGTGTATGGAAGATATACTCACCATTGCGTCTTTCTTTGGGTTGAAGGTCGTTTCGGAGGAAGGTAAGGACGCTGGTGACGCTGTTTCTGATGATGCTACTACAAATACTACGAATAGTGCTACTACTACCGCTTCTGGTGCTTCGGAAGCGGCGTGACAGAATGGGAAACGTTACTAAGGGATATTTTTTATCCGCCACACAAAGAAACACATATATCTATATATCCATACGCATGAATATTTACCCAAGCTTGTTCTCACAGTCCCTTAATCCCCCCTAATCGATATTGATGATGATCATCATCATAATTGTCAGAGCTTTTTTTTGTTGGATGAATGTGTGCTGCACCAAGCTGAAGGATCTATTTTTGCTGAATTCTCATTTGTGTGTGCACCATTTCTTTCGTCTCGTCGTAGGTGTGAAGCAAAGAGTCTCGCGGCACCATCAACAACTGTGACGATTGATTCACCCCCATCACTTCCAGAGCCAGGATGGATGATGATTTTGATGACTTTGGTGGTGATTTCGACCTTGACGAGAATGACTTTTTCAAGGACGGTGAAGAGGGCGCAGGGGAGATGGAGTACGCGATGTTCGCTGCAGGCGACGCTGTGCCACGCTCCGGTGGCCCTGGTCACCTTGCTGAGGCTGGCAGTGCAACGGCCGACGGCAACGGCGAAAACAAGAACAGTAACCCAAACGAGGAGGAGCTGACACCACCAAATATTCAGGAGCTTTTCCCAAATGCTGCTCTCGACACAAAGCCGGTGATTGTCGGTATTATTGCGCAGGCGAAGCTTGGTGAGGGAGTTGATCTCCGTGCCCTGAGCTGCGCAACACGAAACGTTGAGTTTATTCCGCGTTGTCGAACCCCAGCTGCGACAATGCGACTGCATGATCCGAGCGCGGTGGTGTTGGTGCGAACTTCCGGTTTTATGTCTATCATTGGCGCCGCCAGTGTCAGTGAGGCGCGACAGGCCACCGAACTCGCCGCGCGGATCATTCGCAAGGCATTGGGTCTCAGTTTCTGCACGGTTCAGTTCCGCGTGCGCTCCGTGATGGCACGGTTTAACTTGGGTCACCCCATCCGTCTTGATGAGTTAGCGCAGCATGAGGGTGTTTTCTGCAGCTATGAGCCGGACCGATTCAGCGGGTGCATTGTGCGCCTCGCGGGGAAGTCGCACGACAACAGATGGCAAGTGAGCTGCACGGTGTTCGTCACTGGTAAGGTGAGTATGGTTGGGGCCCGCAGTCAGGAAGAGCTGCGGGATGCGTTCTACACACTGCTGCCGATTTTGGCCCGCTATGCTAAAAAGTAGTGCAACCACCATAAAAAATTTTCGCCTTATCATCCCTGCATGCCGAATTCCCACTGGTGAAATTGGTGGGGGATGTGAAGAGAAAGTCCCAAGTACAAGAAGGAATTGCAATGGTTTGTGGTAGTGAAGAATATATTCTTTCGTGTGATGCGTGTGACTCTTTTCGTCTTGTTGTTTTGTTTTCTATCTCCGCTAACCCCCCCCCACACACACACAAACACAAAAAAAAAACAATTATAATAATAATAATCCGATTTTTTCAATAGCCCACAAAAGGTAATAAAGAAAGAGGAAAACGTTACGGTAAATTTTTTCTTGTTGAATCCATGTCGACTTGGGAGCAGGTGGCGCAGGAGGCCGACGACGCTGTTACGGCGAAGGATGTCAAGGGATGTTACGAGATCCTTCGCAAGGCTCACGAGAATGGTGTCCATCACCTACAGCTCACGTGGCGGTATGCGCGGGCCTTGTACGATATGGCTGAAGAAACAACCGAAAAGAGAGAACGTGAAAAGTATTTCAAGGAAGGTCTAGAATGGGCCAAAAAGGCAGTGGAGGAGGACCCTAATTTTTACGCGTCGCACAAGTGGTTGGGTATTCTCCTTAGCGCACAGAATGAGTTCATCAGCACGAAGGAAAAGGTGGCAAATGCTTATATCATACGTGATCACTTCCTAAAGGCTTTGGAACTCAAGGACGACGATGCCACATCACTCCATTGCATGGGAATGTGGTGCTGGAATGTGTTGCAGGTCGGCTGGGTGGAAAGGCAGGCGGCGAGTTTGCTCTTTGGGACACCGCCGACATCTACCTATGACGACTGTCTGAAGTACCTTCTGGCAGCCGATAAGTTCGAACCGTCTATTCACACCGCACTTGCAATCGGCAACGTGCATCTCCAGCTAAAGCAAAAGGATCAGGCAAAGATTTGGTACCAGAAAGCAATTGACCTCCCTGCTGGTACGGAGGCGCAAATGCGGCAGCAAGCTGAGGCCAGGAAGAAAATAGCTTCCTGTTAAAACACATGGGGTTACAGCACATTCATCGTTTTTGTTGTGATTCCATTCTTCTGCA